ATTTTGTGTTATACGTTGTGCTTTATGCTAATTTTAGGATAAAGCATTTTAAGTATGTATCAATTGCTATGGATGCCAATACCATTAAAAAAAGGTTTGTGCTTTAAACAATAGTATAAAATAACTGTAAACACTAATTTGAATGTAGTTTCAAATTGTGGCAAAATCAGCTGCAACAGTATATATATTCAATTAATAATATAGTACCAAAAACTGATTTTTAATAGGACTTTCTAACCAGTGATGAAGGTAGGGAAACAGTCAAACAATGTAACTATTACTGGATTTAATTTTGTGTTAAGGGAATGCAATTGGCAGTGTGTAGACCAGGCGACTGAGGACAGTAGCAGTTCAGTAGCGATTTGATCCTGTCTGGGACAGAATGTCGCCGCCCCTGCGATTACAGACGAGGACGAGGTCGTGGATGGGAGTCATCCCCGACCGTCTCTGCCTCTGACAGCTTTAACCCTCCTCCTCGTCGTTTTCTCGATCAGATTCCCAATACTCTTTCTCTCTCTCTCCCTTTCTACCCTCTTAGGATCCCTTTTCTATTTTGAAAAATTGTTAACATTTTCACCCAAATAAATATTTATCCAAATTAACAATTTATAAATCAATTATAATAAATAAAACAAAATGTTAATTAATTAATAGGCCATGAGGGAAAATTAATTCATCTCATGTGACGTATATTTGGTCTACAAGTGTAGGAATGTATCTAAAAGAATCATGGCAATATTTCATACGACAGTAGATGTGGTATTGGCGGGGGGTCCAAGGAACATTCGTTTTTGCGTTCTTCGCAGGCTCGCGGCCACATTATTTATAGCTTCATTCGAGATCGTGAAATGTAAATCAGGTATTCTTCTAATTTGGGCACTCGGGTGGTAAGCGCGTGTAAAAGTTTGACATTCAACAAACAAATCTTATGTATCATTATTACGATTGTTTCCCTACAATTTAAATTTTCCATTATTTAAAAACTTCTTGTTTTACAAATATGTGACATAATTTTATTATATAAAATTGATTTCTTTTGAACGCAGTTAGAATGAATTTTCCAATCAATTTGCGAAGTAAATGAAATACAAAATTTGATATAAAGAAATAGGGGAAAATTTGGTTAAAACCCCTGGATCCAATGTCCGAAATCGTTCCCATAATCTATCAAAAGCAAAGAGTCAAACAAGAAGCAGGGTTAGGAATGTTAATGTGGTGCAGTCTGCAAGGGAAGACCAATGCGCATGAGCCACCCCCCGCAGGGTCAAGTCAGCTTCTCAAGTACCTATATATATATATATAACTATAAGGTTGAAACTTGGCAGAAAAAGAATAACTAAAACGAAACATCAGGTCGTCAAGAGAGAATATACCTATAAAACATTATTCCAAAGTGAAAAAAATTTCAAACAACTTTTTTATTCTCTCCCTCCCTCAAAAGATATCTGTCGAAAGTAGCTAAAAGTAATTGGAACACCATCAAGTTATTTACTGTAAATCATCATTTCTCTTATGAATTCTATGTGCAAAAACAAACGAGAATATTATATTATTAAACGCTTTTATGATTCTGCTTGTTGAGGAGAAGGATGGGGGAAACAAGAGCTTATAAAGAGACACGAGGAAGAAAAAGCCTTATTGCGCCCAAGTTGCATAAATCTTGTTCAGCCAGAAGTTGAGTTTGTTTGCCGATTACGTCCTGTGGAGAACGCGCGTTCTCCAGTAGCACTAGGTTTCTGTCTTCTCCTCTGTTTTCTTCCCTCTTTCTTCAATTCTTTCTTCTTATTATTCCTCTTCTTCTTCATCATCATCCCCTTAACCTCAGGGTTCTGTCAAGATTAATGAACCTCGTACTTGGGAACTTTTAATTCCAAAGACCGCGAGTACAAATAAGTACCGTCATTCGTCTTGTCCGCCAATTATATATACCCTCGATCTGACTTATATATCGGTGATGGATATACGAAAAGTCATGTGGGTAATATGACAGAAAAATTTGAGCTAAAACCATCATCGTCGAGGAAAAAAGAGAGAATAAAGAAATTGAATTGAGAAAGACAATTTTGGAATTATCGCATAATGTTGTTATAAATACAAAAAAGAAATTTAACTGCATTGGTGAAAATTAGATATTTCTGAAGTGTAAATTAATTTTGAAAGTAATGGGGGAGTTGACGTGATGCCAAATAAAGATGAAAATCGCGAATATAATTTCTGCTAGCCTGAGGGGGTATATAATACGGTAAGCTCGCTACTAAAATGTACGTACTTGGCTGCTTCTAATCGTGCGACTACTCAAGAAGGAAGGTTGGTGATGTGAAGGGCATATTGGCTCGACGGGGTGCGCGCGGGTAATCTTAAGTCCCTTATGATGGCTTATGGGCCCTTTATAGAGGTTCGTATTCGCGAACGAGTCTCACATTCTCTCCTCTCTCTTTCTTTTACTTTTGTCTCTTCCTATATCCTGACGCTATCTATTCTGTCTCTTTCTCGTTCGTCCATCCGTGTGCATGTGTGAGTGTGTGTGTGTATGCAAGTCCGAGCGCACACACGTGATTTAATGCCTCCCGAGCTGTGCTTCTTATTTATGCACCGAACATGCATACACGCTTAGCCAACGTTAAGGTCGGACATCCTACGGCCGACAAGGTCCGCACGTTCATACTCTTGGACTCGCATATTATGGAGAAGCATATCGTCTGAACGCTACGATATTAAAAACAACAGGAACAAAAGATGAGGTACACACGATAGTCTGACCGAATAAGCTTGTACGAAATTAGTAACTTCTCTTTGTTCCGATATATGAATATATACTATAAGTGTGTGTTCCACTACATATGACGTGTTTAAAAATTAATATTTTATATAGATTTGTTATTATCTATTTTTAAAGCGTCTTATCATAATGGGATATTTACATCTAGATAAATATTTTATTTATTTGAAACAAATAAAATTTATTTCAAGCAAATAAAATTTTTTTGAAACAAATAAATATTTATTAGGCTCTGAGACAAATATATCTTTTCTCTGGATGTAGTGAACATAGAGAAAACTATAAACACAAGGGCTGCATATCACTCACTCGCAATAGTAATTTATATGGTGATTGCTAATTGAATCTAAAATGATATTGATATTCCTATAATTGATGTGATATTGTGAAATGATTACAGTACAAAAAGTCCAAAATAAAATGTCCAATAGACGAAAGGTCCAATAATTAGAAGGTCCAATGGACGAAAGGTCCAATAATTAGAAAGTCACAAAATACAAAAAGTCCAATAATTAGAAGGTCCAAAACAACCAAAAAGTCCAAAATAAAAATTGCCCAATATTGAAAAGTACAACAAATATAAAGTCCAATAAAATTTTATTTTATTTCAGCGGGAAAGAAATTGTATATTCCACTTTCATTTGTTTCACATGAAGTTGTTTAACGTGTAATCTTGGTTTCATAGTTTCAATGTTTTGCATCATTTGACATGTAAATTCTCTTCGTGGTATCATTTGAAATTTTTTGTGTTTAATTTTCAATCTTAAATTTGTTGTGATTTAATTTATTTAAAAAATGTATAACGCAACCGCGGAAGTTATATTACTGGGAAAAACGCCTTATTTACATATCGATGGGTTTTTGTACACCAAACATTCGGCGGGTAAGAATACAAAAATATATTGGCGGTGCAGATTGAAAACAATGGAAACAATGTTTCTGAAATATTTAAAAATTATGTATATTTTAATAACATTGGCTAAATATCAATCAATTAAATAAATTTTTAGTTTTGGACTTTTGGATTTTTTGAACTTTTTAGATGTTGGACTTTCCAGATTTTGGATTTTTCAACCTTTGGACTTTTTGTCCTTTGGACCTTTCGGTTAGGATAATCTGTCTTGGACCTTTTATTTTGGACCTTCTGTACTGCTACCTGTGAAATATGAGGTATAAAGTCAAAAATTTTGTTTGTGTTAAATATATTTTTTTATTTAAAATAAATAAAAAGTTATTAGACTCTGAGACAAACATATTTTTATTTGCTTCAAATAAATTTTATTTGTCTCAAATAAACACAAATAAAAGATTTCTCTGAGTGAAAGTGTGAACATTATTATTTTTGAGGCTTTTGAACTATTAAAACATGCCATTCAATAAAGATTAAAAAATTTATAAAACTTTATAATTTATAAAATTACATCATGATGTTTTTTACTTGAACCCTTAATATGATTTAATGTATATAAATTTATAAAATTGATAAAATTTATAAAAATTATAAATCTTTTCTATTTTGTTATCAAAATTGTTTCTTCTTTTTTAATCTCAACAATTTTTTATATTTATGAATAACATATTTATTTATGTCAACTTTTAATCGTTCAAAGTGACAAAAAAAAAGTTGTTTGCATACTTTCACTAAATCACATTTTAACTATATAAATTATATTATCATTTTAGAAATATCCAAATATGGAATTAAAGTAACTTTATTTTGATTGTGTGTTCAATTTTTCTTTAAATGCATAAAACAATCAATGAAAATTTCATGAAGAATTTTCAATAACACCTTTAGCGAAATATTAAATTGCAAATTAGTCAAAAGTAACTGAACTTTTAGTCATTTTTCACTCATTTTCAACTAATAATTATTTATTAATACATTGAAAAAAAAATTCATTTGTTTCAAGTTCCGTCAACTGGGGTAAATTCAAACTGGAGGGCTGATTCCGGACACTTAAACTCTGTTTATTTGATTCAGAAACTTAATTTTAATGTCATTAAAAAAATATTACACCAAATATTACTTCCTCGTGGAGGAAGCATTGTAATAACGAATTTTTTTTTTTTTTTTTCCAATTCATAAACATTTTATATGATAATATTTGAAAAGTACTGGAAAATTATAGTAAAAACAACATTTTAAGTGTCCGGAGTATTAAAACTCTGAGGGCTACATATAAATTTTGTTTTCATTTTAAAAATAATTCAGCCTTACCTTATATAGTCTGCATATAGATGTTTATTTGGAAGCTGTTTTTGGAGGATGGTAATTTTGAGAAACACATCTTTGTTCATATAAAGCTTCTTTTTAGAGAAAAATTGTATTTCATCCCTTTTTGTTTAATTTACTAAATTTAAAATTTTAGTAACATATTATGTATCTGAAAAATATTTAAATGTTAAAATCATTTTTATTTACTTTTTCTTTTTCACAAGTTTTTAATTTTCTTTATAATTTTAATTACCATTTAATTAAAATCAGAGAAACAATCGAAACAAAAGTTAGTTTGACTCCATCTTTTTGTATTGTTAAGAAAAAGAAAACAATTTACAATTTAAAAATATTGTAGTGCAAATATAAATAACTTAAATTTTTAATATTTTGAACTGCATTGCATTTGTATAAAAATTAACATTTTCAGACAGTAGGAAATAATTCAAGTACTAACATAATAATCCAGAATATGAAAATTGTTTTTTTTTCTATTTAAAAGCACAAAATTTTAAATTTGTATTAACTTTTAATTTTTAAAATATATTTTCATATAACATTTTAAAAACATAAAATTAAAATTAATAGAAAACTTTTTGTTTAATCCAAGATTTTTTAGAAATTCTATATTTAATATTTTTTTTAAACAAGTATCTCATATTTTAAATATATTTACGATGCTTTGAAGTATATACGCAACGTTTATGATTAACAATTAGAAATCAATTTTTATTTAACACGGAAAATTATAAAATTGTTTAAAACTAAAAAAATATTTTTTTATAATTTGTTGATTAATAAAAGCTACAAGAAATATTTTTTATGGCAAAAATTATAGAATTTTTCATTTTAAAAAAATTATTTCTATAAAAATCGTTTATCATAAAAGTTGCGTATACTTCAGCTTCGTCAATATTTTGGTGAGAAACAAACATTACCTTTAATCTTTAAAAAAATTGTAATAATTGTAAGATTTTATGCAACATATACAAAAATCGCTTTTCAAAAAATAAAATTTCAATAATAGGTTGAAATATTATTAATAATACAAATTCAATAATATAAAAATATAGTAATATTAAATAAAATATCCAATAAAATAATTGCATCTAATTTTTCTAAAATTATTATAAAATTTGGTTTTTATATCTATGTATAATTAATTAAATATTTTTAAAAATAAGAATTCATTATTAAAATTTTCTTGCAATTAATTTTTTTTAATTATTCAATTTTTATTCTCACTAAAAAATTTTTAATAATTAATTTTTTTACCTTTTCCTAATACGTGTAGTCTTTATCATCAAATCCATATCCATGTGGTTTTTGTGAACTTCTTAATGTATCCCAACTTCAAATATTTGTTGTCATATTGGTTTTCAATTAGCCACGTTATTTTTAATGAAATGGTTCATTTTTTAAATCTTTTTTTTTTTGTATTCCTCTATAGTTTTGTAAATTAATTTTAACTTTTGTTGTAGAATATGAATTGGACACTTATTTCTCAACCATTCCGTCTTGTCAAAAATAATAACACTGGAAAATTAAGAGAAATATATTTAAATCAGATTATCAAAATTGTACATAAAATAAAGAAAGAAAATGGAAATATATGTATATTAAAACAAAAGCATAGTAAATGATAACAACACAAGAATGAAATATTCATTCTAAATAAACTTCATAGATATTTAAATCGTATGAATCATATAATCAATTTGTCGTATTTTTGTCTATGTATTTCCAAAGCGTGAAGTGGATGTTTAACCTCAAAAATTAAAGTTCATTAATTGGCGTTTCTTTAAATTTATAAATATCGAATTTCTGTATTTTGTCAAGTTAATTATTTTTTCGCTAACTTATTATTCGGTTTTAAAGTTAAAATTTGTTGGAGAGAGATTGAATGATTAAACTCAGAAACAGTTTACCACTCTGTAAACAATAATATGTCGCCATCGAGTATTCGAGTTTTTGCTAATAGTTTATACGAATATAAGATTCAAACGAGTAAAAAGATATAAATCACTCAAACATGTCGATTGAATAATTATATATACAAATAGTTTAAAATATTTAATAAGTATATAAAACAAATAAATTTTTCTATTAAACTTACACGACTTGCAACTTCCAACTTATGCATATGTGATCTGAAGTTGCGTATCAGTCGAATTCATCGGAATTCATTAGTACCAACCGCGGAATATAAAAGTACCATCATTAATAAAATTTAGGGCATATTATACTTAAAGTTGTATTGTAATCAATATTTTCTTCTATTCTATCAAGAATAATCAACAATTTTTTCTTTTACTTTGTTTGTTTTATTTTTCTGTTTTACTTAAAAATTAATTGTGTAATTTTGTAAACTCGCCTTTATGATAAATCTCGCCCCTTCCTGCACGCAAAATCTGTGAAGCAACTGATTGGCTTGCTTGGTAGACAAATATTGGTAATTTGATTCAATAGACCAATAAAATTGTTGCATTTTTCCCGGTTTTTAGATGAGTTGATTGACCTCACCCCAACCTAGTCTATACTGACTTCGATCAGCATTGATCAGAAACAATGGGTGGACAGTGCAAGAGTTGTGTTTTTATTTGTTGAAAAGTACAATTTTTAAGATAAATTGAATATTTAAACTCGTTAATAGTTCATTACAATAGTTTCGGAAGTGTTTGCAACCTGCAATTGGGTAATTTTATTTTTGATAATATAGTCTCAGTTTAACACCAAGCATGTGCGCGACCATGTCAAGTCATGTTTCTTTTTTCTTTAAAAAGTAAGTAATTAGTTTTCAATAATTTTAATAGTATTGGAAGGGCTTTAAGTCTGTTTGGATATCTTTTTTTTTGTAAACAATTTTTGTTAGAATTATTATCGCAAAGTTAGGTTAGTTTCGGGAGTGAACGAAATCGCGATCGTTTATTAGAGTGTTAAATAGTAGAATATTTTCTATTTTAATAAAATCGGGAGTGTTAGTAAACTTTTAAATCTTTTATTTTATTCTTGGCATCATGTGGAAAGAAAAATCATCATTGGAGTGCAACCCTTTGACAAATGTCATTTAAGGTTAATTTTAAATTGTTTACATATTACGCTGATTACTATTCTTGAAATGAAAAGTGTATTTTTGTTTGAATATTACTTTAATCTTTTTTAAATACGTTTTTCTAATATTCTATACATATATCAAAAAAAAAAATTTTTAATTCAATATGTAATTGTTTTATTTCACATGAAATACTTTTTTTCATTTCTCTCCATCATTTATATTATCTTATATTAAAAATTTATATTGTATTGCTAAAATTAATTGTATTTAAAGATTTATGTCAAATGACATATTTATAAATTTATACCATACATTTTTTTGAAAAAATTTGTTGTTGCCCAACAAATTTTTGTTAGGCTGACAAAATATTTATTGCCGATTAAAATTTAGTTAACGAAATGTTTTTGAAACTAATCAAATTTTTGTTAAAACAACAAAACTAATTTCATTAACAGAGAAATTTTTTTTATTGTTATATTAATTAATTTTTGGTTACTTAAAAACTATATATTTGTTAACTTATTGACAATTTTAAAAATTCAAATGAGTTCACATTTGTTAATACAACAAAATGCTAACATTTTATTTATTAACAATAATTACTTTATTGTTACTATAGTATATTACTTTAAATTTTTTTTAAAAATTGATTACTGTTTTTTTACAATCATTCAGGCTTCACAGTGTTTCCCATATTTCCCTATTTTTCCTCTATTTTACAAAATTCCCCTTTTTCCCCCCTTTTTTATAAATAATTCCCCTTTTTTTCACTCATTTCCCCTATTTTATGTTGAAACTCGAATAATGGGATATTTTATAAAAATCCAAAGTTGAACCAAAAAATTGCAAGCCTCGGATTGGACGACTTTTTCGATTTTATTGACTTTTTTCAATGAATTTTATTATTTCGACTTTTTTGAATAAAATATACTTTTATCAAAATTTTCTAAAAATTGTATTATTTAAAACACTCTCTCAATAAAATTTGTTCTAAAATTTAGCTATTGTCTAAATCTTATAAAAAAAATATTCAGCAATTTAAATTTACGAAAATTTTGATTAAAAATCTCTTGAAATTCAATTGTTTTTAACAATTGTAACTGCAACTATTTTAAAATTTGATAGTTTTTAAAATATTTAACTTAAGTTTTTTGTTGAATTAATTATTACTGTTAACTTTAATCAAAGTCTTCAAAAAATTTAATTAATATTTAATTAACACGTTTCTCAATTAAAATTTTTTTTAAATTCAATTATCTTCTGAACTTTATAAAAAATCTTCCTCAATTCAAATTTACCAAAATTCTTATTGTATATCTCCTGAAATTTTAATTATTTCTGAAAAACTTAAATATATTTCTTCCAAATTTGATTACTTTTAAAATTTTTGTCTAAAATTCTTCGCTAAATTAAATAATGCAATCATTGTAATTCAATTTTTCAAAAATTCAAATTCTTTTATTAAAAATTCTTTAAAATTCAATTACTGTTTAAAATTTTCTCAATAATTTTCAACATTTCAAATTTACAACAATTTCAATTAATAAATTAATTTTTTTCAAAAATATTTTAATCAATTTCTTTAAAAATTTAATTATTTAAAACATTTGTTAAAATTCTGAATTCGAATAATTTGTACAATCACTTGGAATTTTTTCTTCTTTTAATATAACTTTAAATTATTATTTTTCAAAATTTATTTCCTACTGAATTAGGAAAATTGGAATTCTTTTTTTTAACAGAAAATTAATTTTTAATTTAAACAAATTTAATTAGAATAAATTAAAATTTTCAGTTTCTTTGAAAAATATTAATAAAATCAAGTTTTGTTTATTTTATAAGACGGGTTTTAGTTTGATAAAATAAAAAATTACTTGCATTTTTCAAGAAAAAAATTAGTTTAGAAATAATTTTCAATTTGTGGAAAATTAATTGTAAAATTAAAATGACATTTAAAAAAATAATTATTTACTCTACTGGGAAAATATCTCCTTTAAATCTCACTTTTCTTTATAAATTTATCATCTTTTAAAAAATTTGGAAAAAAATTTTGGTTTCTATACTTTCTATGTTTTAAGATTTTTTTTATTCATCAAGAAAATGGATGGTCTCAAAATTTTCACCGGTAGCGTAATTTAAAACAACTTTAAAGCATTTTGGTTAAGGAAAATATATACATTTAGATTTCACCTTATTTTTCCCCTTTTTTCAAACAAAATTTTCTCTATTCCCCTTTTTTTTTAGAAAATTTTATGCTGTAAAGCCTAATTATTAAAATTTCCCACGTGAAAATTTAATTATTTAATAAACAAACTCGAGTTAAATTTTATACAGTTCGTTTTTTTCTAATTTTGAATATATTCTACAAAATTCGAAGTGAAACTTGGTTAATAATAATTAATATACAATAATAAAATGTTTTGAATACTGCATGTTCAGTGCGCTTATATACAGATGGGGGAGAGATTTGAGTCATTGTAAAAGAGTGAGAAAAAAGGTTCCACAATGGCGTGAAACACAATTTAGCAAAAAGAGTACAAGATTATAAGGAAACATATCTGAGTAAAAGGTTGTTAAGAATCACCTGCTCCCAGGTATTGCGCGTTCGTATACATTTACCTCGGTAATTCACTGTTGTGAATTACGCCTTTCTGACGCCTTAACTGACAGAAAAAACATGTGTACATGCTACCACTTGATGTTGATATTTCATCCGTTTATTTTGAATGAATTATATTATATAATTTTTAATCACATAATTATATATACACTGCTACTGATATTTTCTATAATGATCTATAAAATCATTGGGATGGAACATGTTTTTTTTTCTATAAAATATTGACTATTTTATAATTATTTTTACGATTTACTGAAATTATGATTATCATCGTGAAAAAAATATTTGTTGATGTATTTTGCTTTTATGAATATTATTTGAAAATGTCTTATTTTCAATTTTGGATTTTTATTCCTCGGTCAGGAATTTATCATTTGTATTTGGAATCTAAAAAAAATTTTCTTGTTCATGTTCTATTCATTTTATTATTTCTAATTTTATTTTTCTCAAAAAGTTTATCAATAAATATTAAAAAAAAATTTGGTTTGACACTTGTCGATAATATTGTAAAGAATTTAAGAAAAAAAAAATATCTCTTTAGATTGGCTTTTTCGAAAAGCTTAATTAGGGAAAATCCCAAGAAGTAATGTTGATACTTTTAATTGCAATGTGTCTATCCATATTCGCGTTGAAGCTATATAAAACAGGTGAAGAACAAGGAAACATGAAAGTATATATTGAGAAGCAGCAGGAGAAGCAAACATGGCGGCAGCAAAGAATTTTAATTGCCAGTGCAACCGAGATTATATACCTATAAGGATCAGGTTCAGCCATCATATATCAACTATACAAAATGGCGTTCGCGATTAGATTGTTTTCTTTACTCTCTTACTGTGCCATTACCTATAAACTTTTGTACAATATGTCAGAATCAACTATTCGTGTCTTTTACAAAAAATTTAAAAAAAATGATTTATTTCTCTTTCTATATAAGGATAAGAGAATATGTACTCTGCAGTATGTATACAATAGAAAACACGGTAGTAACTTGAGCAGTAAATGTTGGTTTGCAATTAAATGAGCGTGATGCTAATTTCGACCTATTTAGAGTCTGAAAAAATAAGCGAGCATGTGCAATACAATCGCTAACAGCATATGTAAACCACCTGCCAGAGATTCATTGTGTTATCTCTTCAAGTACACTCGTTACGCGAACATTCATATACACGGAAACCATGATAATGCAAAGCAATTTGAATCTACAAGTTAATTTCACCTGGAATTGATTTCATTATCAGAACATGCTGTAAAATCAACTGCTATATCGCAATATAATGCACCGAGGGGAATCAAATTTATTCGATTTCAAGTTAGAGAAACCTTTTCCTCTACGTACTCCTGTTTCATATGTATATAGTCTCTAAATCTGAGTTTGTTGAATTTTTACTAATTTAATTATATAGTAGTTTTATTATATTTTACACGGAGAAAACAGGAAAAACGAATAAAGTAACTTTTACTATACATTAAAAGAAAAACCGAAACTGTTCGCAGTTTCTGTGCATTTC